ACCCTACTGAGGTAATTGTGGCTTGACCTGGATTGGCGTCTTCAGCAACGGACCCGCAAAACGGCGCAGAAAAAAAAAGCTAGCCAAACGAAATACGCATAGAGTACGTGGTACGCGATTGTCGGCTACTTACCTACTACATGGTTATTGTTTTTGTCGGGTGCACTCACTTCTTAGCAGACGATATTGCACCATGGAGTGGATTGTACACTAGCCAGGAAGAGAGAGATGCTATCTAAAAAGGGAGAAAAAAAAACGTTCTAATGATATATGCTATGGCAGATTTAGGCAGATTATGGTTTGTGTTGGCGGAAGGGGACTACGTCACAGCAGTATATGTTGGCGATGCAAAAAAAACATGGTCTTCTACTGCGGATCAAAAACTGTTGTTTGTTCTAAATCCACGATGTTTAGCTGAGGTCAACAAGAGAGTAATGCTACAGCCTGTCAGAGGCGCCATATTTGGACAAGGGGTGTTTTTCACTCATCAGTTCACTGAACAAAAGGAGACCTGGAAGGATTGGCGCAATTACAACTACGTATGATCCTTTGGACACAGAATTATAGGGTAGTACAGCTTTCTTTTCGCTTCGTCATGTGTCACTCCTATGCATACGCAGTTCCAATGCTGTAATTCCTTTATTTACAATGCGTTTACAACGTTCCTTCCGTGTCACCTATATGACGACATTCACGCATAGAACAATAAATGTCACTATTTTCGATGTAACGGGCCTACCGTTGGCAAAGAGGTGAAATTAATGTTGAACTACGCTTCGCGGCTATTGCGGCTAGTCTACGGCTTGTCTAGTCTATGGTTTGAAAATTGAAACATAATACGCTCTGATTCACAAGCAACGTGTATTTTGAAAATACATATAAGTACAAATAGATCGTTATAATATGCTATTTGTTAAGTCACTGTGGTAGATCGTGCAATCCATTCAATAACGACACTCAGATGCACGTAGATGTACGTATGTATCTGGAGCAGCGTCTCCTATGGCTTTTGTCGGTGACGCCTGAAAACGGCCTGCCAAACGCACCAGTAGTATCAATACACCAAGAATATAATACAATTTGTACGAACGAAAGACGCGGTGATTAATAGCCATTGAATCATCGATAGCCAATGATGTTTAACAACATTTCAAGGAACGCTGGAACCGTAAATGTTGTTGGTAAATGAGCGGATTGGCGCAATCGCATCAATGGCAACAGCGTTAGGCATCAACAGGCGCTTACTGGTTTCTCTACAGCGCGTTCTCCACGTACCCCGACGGCAATATCCGCGGAAGCTGCACATGCGGCAGTAGCATTAGGAATAAGCAACCCTGACGCGATGGCCGCTTATAACCACTTTCGACGATCAATACCTACTGCCAAAAATTTAATCGCATAATGGTCTTCATGCAAATTACTGTATATATATATGTGTGTTAGGTCAATTAGTGGCATTTTTCATGCTGTTGTTGATAAGAATAATAGAAGAAATATATACTATAGCGATATCGCAACGAGATACTAAAAACTAACATACAGGTGCTGTTTTAAAAAGGGTAGGGAAGACAAGCAAGCGAATGTAAGAGCTTATTGGCTAACTCAATATTGTACTATAGAAAAAAAAGATCAATCCTGGGATAATAAACGCAAATAGGCAAAGCTTGACGTAAAGCGCCTGAACTAGCCAGAAAAATAGCATAGTCATAAGTGAACGTGCCTGTCAATCCGGACTAGTGGCACTCAGCGGTTGCAGTTTTGAAAAATAATTCTCACTTGATTAGCCAGCTTCTTTTACTGGCTTACTTTTGTGAAACTTGGAATATTCCTATAGAGATCAACTCTTTGATAGTGGTCAAGAGTTATTTTTTCCATGTAACTTAAACCAAACACGCCGTATTCTTACTGCATAGTGAACTGTAAAATGATCGCTATGAACCCGTCGAGTAATCACTGTACAATATGATTGTACACCGGTCATCTGTAACGAAAGAAGCATCGGGTTTAACGCCGCCATTATCCGTATTATTTTGTAGGTATTTGTAAACTTTGTGAATAATAATCAGCACAAAAAAAACATAACGATGTACTATTTTCAACGACTTTCTTTTATACGCATCACTCATTAGTTGTAGAGCATCGAAGTTCGAAACGTCTGGGGATTGTGTAGCGAAACATGGACTGCTTTGAACAACGTGTTCTTTTTCTTAACTTCTCATTTTATCGTGTCACGTATGGATTTCTTGTTGTATCATCTCGCCATTTCCACAGACCCGGCAGACTTACAAGACATCTCAGGAACGTAACGGCCACCGTAGTAGCTTTTATGCGCCAAAGATAATTTATCAGATATACATACCGATTCATATTTTATTACATAATAATAATAATAATAATAATAAATCACTTATTTGGGTTGCACCAAATGGATGGTAGCGAATCACGATAATCATTTTTTTCTTTACTTTTTTTTTGTTTGCCATAAACCTGTCCTATAATTATATCGTTCTAATTATCGGTACGGATCCATTACCATAACGGCAACAAATGTCTGATCAGATACCTCGACTGCCTCATTATTGTTGTTTTTAACATATAACGTCGCAGCGCCGACCTACTTGCTTACATTGTCCTCACTGTTGTAGTGCGGCCACTGCTGTTGTTGAACCTACACCCTCTGTTGGTATCGTATTCTGCCCAATATTTCGCCGCAATCGTCGCCGCGCAGAAATGCCTCGCCCACCACCGTTGCTCCTACGAGCCTAAACGCAACGACGTTTGCTATCAGTAGCGCACTGCCATTTGATCAGGAACAATCTGCTGCAGCTCTGGTTGGCTGTATATAGAAAGAAGATACGCAGGCGCTTAAAACCGACGCGTACCAGTGAAGGCACATACAAGAGGGAAAGTAGCAGCGGCTTGCTATCAGAGCTAAATGCCGTACCTGTACGGCTGCCGTGGGCTGTCCCTTACTGCAGCAGCTGCTACTTCTGCGATCTCGGCTTCGGCTTGTGCTCAAATGCGACCAAATGGGCGGGAACGGTGTGGGACATTATGAGCAGTGCAGAACAACCCCGTATTCGATCGGACCCGATCTGATCTTGTGATCTGACGCTCTGTGCATGATAGGTCCGGGTGATGAACGAGGCCCGATTTGCTGCGGCAGAATAGAATGTATTGCTACACACGCGTGTTTTGCGGGACAATATGCGTCAGAAGTCGGCTGCGGAGAATTGCGATTATATAATATACACAGGATGCTACGGTATCAAACCGTTTTGTACGATAACGCTGATGAGACGATCGATACGTTCATATTAGAGGCTGCTGTACTGCGAGAAGATCGGGCTTGTGTCTAAAACTGTGGCGTGACGTTTACGTCTAAGAAGAACGTAAAACCGGGATGATAAAAAACGTGATATGGTAAAGCGATGTCCGCCATTACAACAACGTTTAACGATTACAACCTAGTTGTAACAATCAGGTCGCCTCGCTATACTAAATAGACAAACACCTGGCTGAATATAACACTCATGAGCCAATACTAATAATACGAAGAATGATACGGACACTAGAAGCAAGCACTATGTTCACGTCCGTTTCTGAGGGCAAGTTCGTTTAGATCAATGTAATGGTGATGGAAATATAGATATACGAAAAACAGTAAGAACAAAGGTGGCGGGAGAAATACCGCAACGCCCGAAGATGTGGCCTGATTTATCTGTGTTTGTCTGCAGTTCAGAAAAAATATATATACATATAGATATAACGATAAACGATTTCAATTCGATCTTGATCTTTGTTGAAAAAGAAACGTGGGTAGAAAACTAAAAAATATTGAGGTACTGTATGTTTAAAAAATCTAAATGACTTTTTTTGTTATTATCATTTCCGAAAACCATATTTTTTAATGAGTCATGAACAATATAATAAGCTTTCTCTAAAAGAAACAATAAGAAGGTTTGACCTTTGCATAAAATATATCGCGTCGAATATAGGTTAATAAAGTCAGCGATGAAATTAATTTTGAATAGGCTTTAGAAGAAATGTATAACACCGAAATAATGCAGAAATAACCAGTTAAGATTGACGACTTTTGTGTATATTTTTTTGCTCACCCTCATTCACACACTAGATTATAGGTACTATAAAAGCATAATACTTCGATGCAGAAAAACTTAAGATGTTTCAATATCATTATGGTTTCGCTAGTTTAAGTCTCCCTATGTTTCGAGTTTTAATCCGGCATCGCTATTGGGCATTCCATCAGGCGGCTGGCTTTCAACACGAAGAAAACGTGTCTATGCTCGGGTTAGGACTTCCACTATGCCGTTTCTCCAAAATTAGCAAACAAATACGTTTCCCACTAAGCCACCTAAGTCTAAACACTTATTTCGTCTTTCTATCAGTGCTGACTACGCCACCAAAGAAAGACTTCACGACATGAAAACCTGCAAAGGATTCTGCTTAGGACTAATTACCAAATAATATCTAGTCTGGAAAGAATATGGTTTCTGTTAGTACAGCTACAAAACCTTTTCCTTGAATTACGGCACTGGAACTAGATGTTTTCAACACTAAAAATCTCAGGGGTTAACATTTTCCTTCGTTTCCCTTCAGTTTGCAGTCACAAACAAATCGAACACAAAGGGTTGGATTGCATTTCACAAAATGCAATCCAGCCGAACACGGTATAACAGAATGGATCTCTGGATTGTACCTATCTTAAAAACAAAGGTAACACGAAAGAATACAAATAATAAAGAGGATAAATTATATCGTAAACAGTTCAAATCATTGTAAAATTTTCATAAAAATTATTACTCAATTAAATTAATTCCCTTTGGGATCGTTAAGTCTGCTTTTATGGGGACGCCATTGACGTTGTAACCAATTAGAACCTCAGTCATTTTCCGTGCCTGTTTGCCTAAAAGAAATGGAGTTAAACTCAAGCATGTCGAGCACCTGCCGCAGCTTTATTTGTTTGTGATTTAAAAGGTGTGCTATACGCCAGTGCCAACAAATAAACACGTCCTGGTGCGTGAATGCTAACGAGACGGCTTTGCTTCTCAGTACCAATACACGACAGATTAACTTTCAACTAATCGACCAGTCTTTAGCTTCCGCCATGTGGTATGACAGCATTTATTGCGGAAGCAGATAATATTTAAATTATTTTCGAGGTATCAGTAACTACAATCAAAGGCATATTTTACCTTGTCGAACTATACTTAAAGATTTATTAAGTAGACTTAATTCTGTCAATGCGACTTGTATGTACGAATACGGGCAAACCTAGGCATTTGGGCTAAGAATGAATGATCCTCTTTCTATATATATATACGTAAATGTTATGGAATTGTCGCGCATTTGTTCAGCTTCGTGCCTTTCCTATGACGTACACGCGTGCACCTACAAAATCTACAATCTGAATCTACGTCAATATATATCAAATGCCTACGTCCTTTTGTTTATACACAATTACATGTCGAGCTTCATTTGTGGCGTTTGTCGGCGGCAAGTTTATCTGTTTAAGCGTTACCCACCACTCGAATCACCGTCATGTGTACAGATGATAAGTACTTTCTCTTTTTCGATAAAATACCAATCAAATTTGCTGTAGCCAAGATACAATTCGAGATTGTCATGTACCGGACTATATCAGGTATATGAAGATGATCACTATGTCACGTTTCAAAATTCAACTATTTCGAGCTCATTTGCTGTGGGTCAATAATATGAAGAGCTCGAAAACAAACAAAAAAACAAGACGCTTACAATATTCCAGCAATGAAGTTACATCGGCGGAATAATAGACACTCATATGAAGTCATACTATTTGCATCATGCTGTACTTATTCTATAGGTGTACTAAGCGAATTTCTTTAATTTTTCTTCTTCGATACATTCACTCAGGTGTGTAGCAAAACTTTTGCCGCTCTTCGAGAACTTCGCTGTCATGCTAATTGCGACTGAGTATTAACTGTGCATGGCGTTCTATAGAGTTTTCAAATTCATACCAAAGGGAACTAGATGAATTAGCAGAAACATCATAATTTCGAAAGGCTGCCTAATCAGGACTTTTTCTTACATGAGTGTCATCGTCTCTAACGCCCTATAAAAGGACAACTGATTTATTCCATCCACTTATCTAGACCGCCGTCTTCCAAGGCAGATCAGGCTTGCCGCTTGAGAAACAAACCAGCTTCGTTTGTTTCTGAACGGAAAATTTAGCTTATCTTAGGTGAGGCGAACACAGGTGTCCTATTGGATAATGGTGTGCGTTCCTTTGATGGAACTCGTGAGGCCTTTCGGTGCGCCCGTTGAATTATAGCATCCCAGAATGTCGGCTCAATTGCTAGCAGGCAGAACATAATACGCTGAGTCAACTCCTGATTCATCAGTGCTGGGTTCATCTGCGCTTGCAAAGAGTATCCAACAATAGTTGGGGCGAATACCTGAAATCGATCAAGAATAAGATTTTACTGAAAAAAAAAACTACAAAATCATACAACACAGGTTATTGATGCAGATGAAAGACCAATACATTGACTCTCCGTTGTGCTATTATAAATTAAAACAAATCGTGCTTTATCCTATGAAGCCACAGATAAGAGATTGTGATCATTTGTATATTTTGATCTTGTATGCTGAAGTTGGGCTTTCGGCGAAATTCACTAACCTTTGTGAGACACTCGCGATCCATTTTGTTGTCGGGAATCTCCTCAACGACTCTGATATGCAACATCACATATGCCAGCGTATCGCGATTGCATGGGGGCAAGCCCTCTAACTCTGTGCGCAAGACTCCATCGGAGTGGCCGTACTGCTCGGGCTCCGTAGCCTTAACAAAGCGGTTGTACATCGATGACGGTACGAGCGGCTCACTCAGTGAGTGTAACAGAAAATCTTTAACCACCCCGGTTACAACATGGGTGTCATACTGAGAAAGGTCATGCTGTACAGACTTCTGTAGCTTGCGTACAACAGATTGCACCTCAGTTCGCTGGCCAGATATTCGATAAAGACCGACCTCGCGAATGCGATGGTCTTTTTCCAGCTCGTGGAAGCAGTTAATAAGGATTGGTGGCACCCGGGGCCCTGTTTGCGGACAGAATTCTGACAGCTTGTGCTTGCCCTTGACAGGTGTCTGATATATTAAAAGAAAGAAAGGTGCAAAGTAATTTTTTTAATTTTCGCATAAAGCTGCTGTTACTCCAACCGTCCTAAGATAAAAGATTTCACGCAAAAATAAATCCTCATTTTATTTGTTCTATGCAGGGTGTCCAAAAAAAATGTTTGCACTGCATAACTTATTGACTATTCTTTTTTTGGAGGCAATGATTAACTTTTGAAACTAGAAAATTTATTTTCAAATGCTATCGATAGTGTGAAGCAGTAGTAGAAATGTAAAGACAATATCGTAGCGAGTATCAGGCAAATCCACCTACGACGATGTGCAACTAATCGGATATTAGATAAGTTCGAAAAGAATAGAGCCCTTGTAGATTTTCATGAGCAACACTCCGAAGATCAAGGACATCAATGAGTCTTATTAGCCTAAAAGAGTATTTCTAAGTCATAGCGAGATATCATTCAAATCTGTAAGACAATTGAATTAAGCAACAATGGAATACTTTCAATAAAAATATTTGAGCCTGACAAAATAATGATTATTAGGAAAACGTGAATAGGACGCAGAACTTGTTCATGTTGCATTTAAATTAAATGGCACAATTCACCGACGTAATTGTAAATCCACATATTATATAGGAACAACATCTCATGCTGTGATATGATGTTTCAAATTAATGGATTATTGGATCAGTCTTTGTTGACAATACGGTAACTGATAGCAATTATCTAAATGTATTGAGAGAATCTATTTTAACACCGATTCGGACGATAGGCAGTCGAAAAGCTGCAATCGAGTAATAACAAAATACTTGCTGATGTTGGTGAATCGATAGCCCGCCGTTATCAGCAATATAATGACAGGAACAGTAACTACTTTAAACATCTGCTATAGGAGAAAAAGGTACTTTGCAGTCCAAATATTAATTATATGCAAATGAAAAAAAAATGGAAAAAGTAAAAGTAAAAAAAAAATTATTTATAATCATTCAATCACACTGTATAACTTTTTTTGGAGATTTTCTGTATAGTGATTGCATATGTGCCATCGAAGTATTTACAGTATACCATATGCAAATGCCTCGAGGCAATAATTTTCCGACAGTGACTCGCAAAATTAGTTGGCCATTAGCTAATGCGGCAGGATGTGGAATATTTTATTGGCTAGGTTATTTAGTTAGCTATCATATCCTAGCTTACTATAGGGCTGTGAATTTTTACTTAACCTACCTATAAACGCCAGGACCTTCAAACTTTGTGCCTTCACGACATCTAGTATCGTCTGCTGAGGTCTTTGCTACCTGGCATTGATCAGGCATTGTGACGCTCTTATTTTCGAAATAGATTTTCTACAATATAAAAACTAATTATAAATAGGTAAAACCTGAAATTGTAACCATTTAAATATCTATACATTTTTTGGGAACCCCTTTTCAATAGATATTCAAAAGTAGGGATAACTTGATTGGACAAGTTGAATGGCTTCCATAATATTTTAAGGTGGAGGTTGGTACAGTTACGTATTAGTTTAATTCATTTTTACAGACGTTTTCCCCTTTCCTTTTTTCTGCGAAATAACATCACCCTTTTAAGGTTTCTGAGCGAATCTGAGATAACCTACCTTGCACACGGATGGAATACATGGAAGTGGCGCATTTTCACGACACTCCTGATGAACAGTCAGATTGCATTCAATGCATCGCAGTGCTTCCCTGTAGAACTTCATTCGGCGCTTACACTTTGCACAGTTCTCAAATGCTATCACAGTTTTATTGATAAAACTGAAACAGTACATTTGCAACAAAAACGCATGCAGTAAATATAGTGCGATCTCCCTGTGTGAGTTTATAGGTTTCGCTACGTCTGATTGTACTTCATCCTATAATTAGTGTTCTGTCTCCGTTGGAGCATTCAGAGACGTAAGTACCGTTTATGGTTGGCCATGTCAGCTGTAGTGTGATGTCATAAATTCTCATATAAATCGAAACTGTCATCTACATCGTTTTAGTCTCAGGACGCTACTTACTGATGCTGCTTATTCGTCAGTTTGCTCGCTGAGTGACTGCGAAACATAGGTGAACCCAGCATTTTGCTAGGGGTATTAAATAAGTCGTCCTCGGATGGTGCGGAAGTGATCGCAGCTTTTGCAGCACCATCCAGCCGAGCATCAACACTTTTGCTGCGTCTTCGGGAAGAAGCTCCCGACGATCCTGAATGTGCAGGAGTAGCAGCACTCTTTCCACCGATTCGAGCTTCTGCAGACAAAATCTTAGCGTTTTCATCCACTGAAACCGTCAATGACGCTGCTATACGAGAAGACTTTCCTAAAACACGTGAAGCATACGCAGAGCAACGCATAACATAAGATGTAGTGTACTTGCTGAAAAAATAGGTGATTTCAATAATATAAACAGTCTTTTGACTTTCTTCCTGTTTTTAATTTGTTTCTCCGCAGTTTAATTAGTCACAACCCAACAAAATGTACATTACCTTTTTTTGCCGCGCATACTCTGTCCCTCTACTTACGTCCAATTTTTTTCGCTACTACGTCATCCTCTTCATCATTCGAAAGCCGTTTACGATGAGACACTTTGAGCGGCGTTTGATGGTGCTTCGTCAAAAGGTCTTCATGATTAGATGACATGGATTCCGCTGAAGTTGCCGTAGCATTGCTACTCAAGGACTCGTTCTCGGGTTGACTTCCGGTTCCCATCTCAGGTTCAACCTCCCGTCGCTCTGAAACGAACGGGTGATCCCGGCTTGCCGACGACGTCGAACCCTCTGATGACAGCATGGAATTCTCCTCATATTCGTCTAAAAGCGATCCTGATTTATTTCCCTGTGGTACGTACGCAAATACCGGAGTGACGGTATGTAACACTAGCCTCGATATATATAGGTTTTTTAAGGCGGTTTTAGCGCTATAAAGCTGTGCATCTTCTGGTAAGTCATAGGAAGTATATAGATTCGTATAACATATCATTGAATATAAAAAGCATTCGAGTGTACATGTCGTAGGGTCTGTCCAATATTAGGGACCACGACACACTGAGCAGATACAGTACTTAAGCAGAATTAACTTTCTTGCATCATATGCCTTACTCATATTTTACGTGTAAAGAGTGATGAAATTTTAACTTACAAGTGTAGCGGTAGAGGGGATTTGGTAGAATGGCCTGGGACTAGTGCAGATCGTGTTAATCAAATCGACAGTGCGTTCCTCTTGTGCTTCCAAGCCTATCATATATTCTTTAGCACTCTGTAACTGTTTGACCAATTTCCGGACGTATTGTTTAGCACGAGCATGCTCTTCCGTTTCTGTTTCCAGAGCCGTTTTCAGTTTAATTACGTGGGCCTGATGCTGGGAGCATTCATCTTGCTTTTCACGAAATTTCGCCTCGAAATGTTCCATCTACGAACGATAAAATAAAACAGTGCATCATTTTTACTGTCTGTAATTAAATTACAAGACAGAATAAAAATGAGTACTTTACTAAAATATAGAAACGTTACTTTATTGGTAATAAAAGTTTGTTTATGCAAAGCACGAAATCGGAAAGATATGTCCAGCTTCCGTTTGTCCGGTTCAGATACATTTTAAACTGATTGCTGAGTTTTTACGAAAATCTGTGCAAGCTAATTTTGAATACCAGCGCATCTATTGCAGACAATAATTATAATATGATAACTCTCTTAGAAAACAACGCTAATCAAATTTACCAATAAATATACTTCAAACTATTATTAAATTTCAGCGTCATTCAGCTGATACATAGTCTAATTTGAAAGACTTCACACTTATGTACACGCAATAACAACGAATAAATAGGAACAGCTTTTTCTTCCGAATAACTAAGTTCTACTATGCTCCTCAAAAAATACGAGATTTGGGCTCATGTTTTTTTTTATTTGAAACTAGTGATTATGGCTCGAATACTATAAGACTTACAAATAGTTTTTAGGCGGGCACGTCCAGGCTTGTTATGAGTGAGACTGATAACAAACACCAGAAGTACATGGCGGGGTTATTTTAGCTGAAATAGGCAATGATCTATCCAAGAGCTTAAGGACGGAGAATGCATAAAGCTGTAGTCTGAATCATGATGGCGCATTGGCTGTCTGAACAGAGGTCGGGTAGAAATGGTATTTTCTTAGCCGTTCAGATGAACCCCTTAAGGATGAAGAGGAAAAACTGATGTTTCAGCAGCGACCCAAGGGTGAACCAGAAAACACAAGTCACTATCAGAATTAGGACTTCTGTTAAGTTGTGATACAACAAGTGTCTTAATCCATGTATAAGTGACATGAAAATAAACATTAGCGAACGCACGTGCAGTAAATATGAATGTATTTTGAAGCATTGGATAACTTTGGATAGTTTGAAATGTGTTAAGCTAGATCGTTTGCTTAAGATAATAAGAATAAACAGTTCGGAAATAGCACTATGTAAATACTGTTGAAAACTAACTCAAGGTAGGACCCCATGTTAATCAGTCATAAATGTATATATAACTATAAAGATATTCTACGAAAAACCGTTGACTTCATAATGATTAGCGAAAACAGATATTACTACGCTGAATTGCGATTTTTAGATACAGTTAGAAAAATATTGAAAACACAATTGTCTACTTGCCCTGCGTTTTGTTTCCCAATACCGTTTGACGAGACGGTGCTGACGTTTAGCTAGCGCTGCGAAACAGCGGTACCATTTTTCGCCTTGTCCTACCTTCTTGATGAGACTATCTACTGTCTCAACTAGATTAACACGTCGCGACGTCATCTGGAAAAAAGAAACAATGATTGTACTATATTGAACTACACATGTTTAATACAAATCTGAGTTCTTTATCCTGGTATCACTACCTATATAAAAAAAAGGTAACTAAAATTAAGATATCGACTCTATAATCAAACTATTTTTACAAAAGCATTTTTTTAGCTTCAATTTACAAGCAGTAGGCCCTTTTGTCTGAATTCTGCTCTGGTTCCGTTCGGTGTTTCGTAGGTGATATGCTTAATTAATAATGGCTAATTTTTGGACAATGGTAAAAAGAACAATTGTACGATTAAACGGCTGCAGCGTGTCAGAACGACTTATATAAAACAAAATAATTAAATTTTAATAACGTGCAGTCAAGTGATAATAATATTGCATATCATTTACGAGTCTAAACGGCTGTCAAAGTTAACTATGCTGTTCTGCTAAAAGGGAATAAAACCCCTGTTGGAAATTGATGTACTAAAATTACCTAAGATAACTAAAGTAAATGATTATTGTATGCCATGGCTTCAGAGAAACAAATACAAATTAAATGATATGGTTAACGTAGCAGTTCATGGAAGAAATATATGGAAGTCGCACAGTACATACAATGCTTGAGTTTCCAAGGCAAAGATGCTCACAATTTCTTCCAAGGAATATCCCTAACTGGAAAAAAAATGAAACACAAGTACCTTGTCTTCATATGTAGCTATGATGGCAGCACCTTAATGAAGTGCCCCGTCTTTTACACAAATATCACAAATGCTATGCGTGTATTCACGACGTTTCACAAAACACAATCAGAAACTCACAAAGCGGCAACTATACGAATTCTCCTTCGTGAGTTCTGCCGCGGTGCCGCCAAGCTAACCGTCATGACTACTTTTAAACATTCAAAATGGCGCCGCTGTCTGCGCTACAACCAAACAAGACGATTCCTATGGCGCGAAAACTGCTGGAAGGCACCTAGGGAAAACAATCCCCAAGCCCATAACACTTCCGATGTAAGAGTAATGTTAAAACATTGATTCCCATGTTTATTGCAGCCGTTCGGCCAGTAATAAACGTGCAACTCAGTTAAGATTTATTTACACAACATGAAAACTTATCGGTAACAGAAAAACTGTTTTTCTCAGCAATGTGGTAAAATCTTATAAACAAAAAAAAATCTGATCTGAAAGCAGGCAGAAACGCTGATTCGTCACATTCGGCGCTTCTACACAGCCTTCCAAAAAGTGTAGAAGGTTATTACTACACAGCTGGCTTGAATAACTTTAACTCGTGCGGTTGTATCCAAATAGGTGTAGACAGTCGATTATCTGAACAGGGCTTTTTTAAAGTGTACTTACACTGAATTTGTTGGTTTCCCTTCTCGAGTATATTGCGAGGAGTAACTGTTTAAAAAAACGAGCTTTTACATAGAGATTCTGAGCTGAAACTAAGCATTTGTTTTCAGCTGATATTTTCGACGAGGCGACCAACCGCAGCAATTTTCAATCGTCTTAACAAATTGACACGTACCTCATCTAACATGACTTGTTTAATAAGTTAGTGAAAACCTATATTACACAAATCTGTTCTATCACATTGATGGAAACATTTACTGTGAAATTAATCGTTCACCCTATTGCACACTTCAAGTTGACCTTTAGTAACGGAAAAGCTCTATTGTTTGAGACGAGCTTAGCTGAAGTATCTGATATCTAAAATCAATAACATCGCGAGCCTCTTAAGCAACAGAAATTAGCAGCGTAATATGCCTCTACTGACGTTTGCTCTTGCACGATATACACACATATGATCACATAATTGAGATATACATTAATACGTTACTCAATTGTTAATCAGTTTTAGATTTAGATGGTTATTACACCGTGTACGCAAAACGCTACCAAGCAAACAAAATGTTATTATTATGTACATCCTATTGTAAAGTGTCACTTCGTATTGCAAGTAAATTACTTTAATTAATTTTATAAATTACTTTGATTAAGGAATAAACGATTTGAATTTTATGTCGATATCAGACGAAGCAGGCCTCGATGATTTGTTTTGACAGTTTTCACATTTATTTTAATATAGACGTGTTTATATATCACAGTCAGAATGCAGAAAAGGGTAATTAATGATCTGCATTAGTTTACTGTGCCGCAGTAGTCTGCCGCTTTCCCTGGGCAATCAGAAAGACCAACAGTGAAACAAATAAAGAATCGTTTTTTTGTCCTTGTAGAAACGTTTAAGTTAGGTTATAGTGTAGTCATTTGTTGCAAACTGTTGTTACCCGGCTTGACGCAACTATGCATTTGTTGATTTCATAGAAATTGTATAGTATATACTAAGTACAACACCTCCACCGGAATGCCCTTCAAAGCGGGTATCCAACAGCTCGCATTTAATTAGTCGCTATGATGATCGAAAGGCCGCTCCGAAACGTTCGTCACTCTTCAGGGGAGCGTTGGCTCGAAATAACACTTATATTCATTGAGGGGATGCTTTGCGAACGGCCATATCATCACAAAATGACAACGAAGCACGCTCGCGTACGTCAATTTTGGATTTCTTCGAATTTTAAAACGCTACAGTGTGAAAGCAACCTCGGGCATCAACTATTAGATAATATAATATCTAGCTAGTGGATACTTCGGGTTCCACCAGACACGATTACAAGTGTGTTCATATTTAGTGCACCACTGTTACTCGCTTAGCAGAAAGAACAGCGCGCATTTCTGTTTATTCAATCATCAGGAAATCAGTGCTATACGGAGTCATTAGAAATGCAATTTCAATGAATTATGATTTAATATTTCTATTAGGAACTATTTATTTCTTTTTTTACATTTCCCTTGTTTGAGTGGTTCTATAAGATATCGCAAGTAATCACTAATGTCATGTCTTAAGCGTACGACCCTGAAAAACATGTTTAGCTCTATTCAGCGATGGCCGTCAAACCTCTTTTTATGGAATTAATCATTCAGTATCTATTTTATTGTCCAAGAGATACATTTATTTAGTTATCTATTTTTCGCAGTACAGGGAAGCAGATATACTCGCGGGACATAAAATCTCAGCAGAAGATTCAACCCCTAAGTGTTTGAGCTAGCAAGTAAATGTGGTCAGACAATTTCTCCAGACCTGTTGCTTTGAAATAGACAATGTGCAAATTGGGTCCACTATGTTATCTATCCGAATTACAATTCGTTTATAGTACAGTTTCATCAATTTTTTTGCAGCACTTTCATAATCACTTTGTAGGTCCAAGGTTTGTCCGTTTTATCACCCGAAGTGAGGTCCTTCCCTTAAAGCTTTCGGCGGGAAAACGTTCGTACTTTGGGAATCGCCGTCGTCTGGAGTATTCAATTTAGGTGGATGTGTTTGACATATACTATTGAAATGTCAACACATCCTAGCTGTGTAAATAAATGAAAGCAAGAGCCTACACTATGCATAGTATGTATGCAAGACATACTTGTTCGTTAAGTTTGGGAAGTTTAACTACAAAAATGGTTCATTAAGTCAGCCTAACACGTTCGATTAGAACAATTCCTTCTCAGCCGCTTTCAGCGCCCCCTGGTGTCCTGTTTTGATAGACACGTCAGCTGATCAGCTGAAATTGTTGTGCTCTAGTTAAAACTATGTCTGCGGACAGTTCTACGTCAAGCAGGTATTATATACACAGGTATATGACAAAAGGACAACATCCATAAGTAGCCAGTCAGGGAGACTCAGAAGATACAGACACATGACGGTTATTGGTCATATGTATTACGGACTGCTCAACATATAATCATGATAGCACGGACACAAACTTTTTTCATATGCGTTTTCGGTTAAAAAGCGCCATCAGAAATAACGCTACTCGTCTCTAAAGCAACGTGCTCTGTTCGTTTTTCTTCTCGCTTATTGCGTTGTGACTTAATATTAGGCGTTTATCTCAATGTAGTTTTCTGAGTGACAGTAAAGAAAAACAATTTTTGCAGGCACGCCGTTAGATTTCAATGATTGCAGTGCCTGCGGCGAGTATTCCAGAAGAAGCGTAGTAGACTGAGGAGGAAATTGATAGAGGCAAGCTAGTTAGCAGCTCCATCAAGCCTGGGTACAGCCCGGCTACTCAGGGTCTGACTCTGGGTCGACTTAACATTATCCTGAAACCAGAGGAAACGCTCTCAGCTACATAGAATACGTCTCAGGTACTGATTTGGTGTTGAACCACTATGTTCAGATTCTCTTGAGATTAGAAAATTCTAGCGGAGGTGTCAAGCCCGAACCGGTTATTTAACAGGGCCTTTTGAACCCCAATCTGTCTCAAAGTACTCGGCCCAGCTGGTATCAGTCTGCCGAACAGCAACCGTCATTCGAACACACTAACCCATTGATTCGATTTCCTGTTCCTTCAGAAGCGAGCAGGTTTTGGAGTTGATTTTTCCACAGTAAGAGTTAACCTCTGTTCACTAGAATATCTACCAGGGAGCGTGGATCAGTCAAGCTGCATTATTGACAGCATCATATTTGAAACCGTCCGATAGAAGTAAATTATGAAGGCGAACAATTTGTCCCTGCTGATTCCTAACTTCAACCAATATCATGCCTCGAAATACATGTATTAGTGAAATAATTTCCAATTATAGAATCTAACTGTAAATCATGTCAGATATATTGTTCAGAGTAGGAGTCGCCACCGGAAGATCCTTCCACCTCAGAGAGCAAACTTTGCGCTGTAGCGAGTACCGTGATGCAGCATCAACGAGGTCGCGATACCTTGTCGAAGGCAACTGATGGCCAGGGTGACACTAATCCATAAAAATTAGATTCTCGAAAGCACGGCTGACGTGCACACTATCGCTGCTTCAAAAGACATCTGCGCCGAATAGTTCGCTACCCCAGCCAAACTCTTCGCTGTCAAAACGCGTATTCTAGTTCCAAAGTTTGTTAGGCCACTGATTAGCTCCCGATTAAAGCTTGCCACTACAGAAGACTCCAGTAGCATAATTTTACGTACAAGCTCACTGGACTCCGAGTACTGTAGTTCTTTGATATCTAAGTTGACTTTCAAAATGCCACATGTTCAAAGACCGGGTGCGTCTCGCAGAGTGATACGCGTCATTTGTCTTCATGGTTATAAAGATTCGGCTAATGAGTTTTCGAAGGGCCTGGACGAATTGAGGGCTTGGGTAGGACCGATGGCCGAATTTGCTGTTGTCTCCGGTCAGGAACTTCACAACAACGAATTCTGCTGGTACCCAAACAGATTCGATTTATCATGCCCTGATGAGGAGGTGGATCAACATCAGCTTGCGTGTAAGTAAAATTAATGATAAGTGCATGTTTTTTTTTTATGTTTGGGCGTATTATCTTAGTGAAATCTATAAAATTAGGCGATCTTAATAAATAACTCCGCGATAATAATTGGAATTACGGTTGCTGAAAGCATAAGAACCACGTTTTCATATGGCGCAAATGCTTTCAAATGATAATTACTGTTTAGAATTCTATTACACTAAAATGCACGAACAATCAAATATACTAGTTCAACATATTTCGTTTGTTTACCAATACATTATTTTGTAAGATTTATGTATTAGACGGCACACGTTTCTATGAATGTAATAACTCGAGCTTCTTTGGTTCATCCACTTTTTATGTTTGCGTCCATAATTTTTCGACTTCAGGGCTGCGAAGATCTGTTAGATCGCTTGAGGAATATGTTTTGAACTATGGGCCCTTTGATGGTATTCTCGGATTTTCGCAAGGAGCTATGTTTGCAACAATGGTGCTACAGGTATTGCGTTCGCAGGTAAGCTAGGCGTACTCTATTTCCTTGGCTACGTCCACGTGAATCTTTGTCACACATTATATCTGTGGATGCTTGCACTTCCAGCGAAATTGTTTCCTAAAGCTTCCAAAACAAAGCTGGAAAGTGCGCTGGCAGTGGCATGTTCCGCTTCTTATACTGACATTGTTGAGTATTACAGGAATTCAGAATTAACTAGATCAATGCGATAAACAGGCAGACAGACAGACAGACAGACATCTCGTACCTTGCGTAGTTAAAGCAGTATTTCCCAACCGAATTCATCATTTGCTACGAAAGATAAAGGGCCACGGAGAAGCTCTGAAATACGTGGCAATTTCAATGTAGAATTTAACAAGTAATAATTTGATATATCACCTTTTGTTTTCCAGGCAATAGACCCAACGGCTGACACCAAAGGTTTGACCGTCTCTTCTACGCTTAACTGCTTTAAATTCGCTATTTTATTCTGCCCGTGTGAGGAACGGAGTCCGTATAATTTACGTCTCGAAGTACCGAAAATAGCAGTACCCACGATGCTTTGCCTTGCAAGGTACATATATCTTCATGAAGCGGTCTCGATACAATTAGCTAAATAAAAAACAACTGATGCGACCACGTTCATAGGAAATGAAAATCTCCATTTGAATGAACTAAATGTATAGTATGAACAAAGACTCACGGTACAAATATATCTCTTAGAATCGTATTCTCGGTCAAAAAAAAAGAATAAGCTATTCGTCAAACTTTTTTTTTTTTTTTTAAATTAATTGTTAACAAGATTTAGGTTAACTGAATAAGTGATTAACTGCATCAGAATTGGGCTGAAGCTTCCACGGTACACGGTATGTACATATAATTTGATATTAGGGTATATGAAAAAGAGAAACAGACTTCTGTTCATAGTTATAAAACACTTCTTGTAGAACCCTCAGACAATATTTGAACATTTAGAACGATGTTAATCAGTTCAATCACTTTTCACATTGGATTATGTGCATTTGTGCTTGTGACATCTGATTATATGAATAGGTACGATGATATGATTCCCGTCGAGGTTGGAAAACAGTTCATGCGCCTCTTCGACCATGCCGAACTTCACGTTTACGAAGGTGCTCATTGGCTTCCAATGGACGTCGAATTTGGCCCAGTCATAAGGAAGTTCCTTCAAAAATTCTGGGTGATTGACGACTCTAACTAGGGTTATAAATGGATATTTTTTTTTGGACAGCCGCAGAACTGTCGCCGATAAATATAACGCGGCTCAAAGCTACAGGGCTAACCGTTGTAGCAAGATTATGGCTAACTGTATAAAATCACGTATCAATCTGTTCTTGTATCCCGTTTGAGCTTTCATGATTAGCAGTGCATTCTGCGGCGGCATAGCCGCTGATTTACTTTATGGTAACAGGTAGTTTTGCGACAGGTAATTGCTAATTTTTCACTTCATCCTGCAAAATTTTGCGCCCTCTGTCTCTCTTTCTCTCTCTCTCTCTCTCTCTCTCTCTCTCTCTCTCTCTCTCTCTCTCTCTCTATATATATATATATATATATATATATATATATATATATATATATATTTATATAAGCACTTCGATTGAACTTTTACCCTAACAGTTGGAATAAACTAAACTAAAAGAGTTGGCACTGCCTCTCTCAGTGAATGCTTCATTCTGGTAAGTTCAATAATTAATATGTGAGAACAGTGTAAATTCCAATCATAGTGTTAATAATAACCTAGAGCTAAGATAACTTGGTATTTTGCATCTGGGTATATTTAGCCTTTTTCCGATTGAAGTTTAAAATACCGAAGTCATTTGGAACTTCTAGAGAGATGTGAATCGACGTCTCCATTGCAAAATTCTCTAACACAGTTAATTTCACTATTCTTAAAGTTTCTCAGGGCTTGTCAAAAGGTATCTGAATTGAAGGTTTAACTTCTGATCAAGGCTATCTAATATTTTAAATACTAAACTCGGCGCGAAGGCTGCACTATCCGTAGAAATTTGGCAGAGCCTAAATCGGGGTAAATTTCAGCAAAACTAGTATCATCTGCAAAACCATTAGGACTTGAACTAGGACCTTTTGAAAGCCGTTGGTAGCTAGGATATCGACAATCATATAATGAAGTGTAACACTGGACAGGTTGAGGCGCCTCTTTTGTATGCTTGATCCCTGATTAGTAAGTACTAGAGATCTTCATCCTCAAGCATAATAACTGCTGCCCAAAATTGGGCAAGCCAATTTAACAAGGCAAAAATTCGGAACTTTCACTTTAACCACTTTCAGAGTTATACACAGCAAGAAACTCAAATAAGAAGAGATTGGCACAGATGAGCCTACTTTACTGGTAAAGTAAGCGTCTACAGATGACGATAGCAACCACTTGGATTGGCACATTTTGTCCCTATGGACGTCGTAGTAGGAAATTTGTTTAGGCAGTGGGACGCATTATGTTTTCCTACTCTGTCATGGCAAAAAAGTAAAATCCCTTCAGTAAAGATAAATTCGATGAAGAACCGCCGAACATTATGAATGGTATATACATATTGACCATCGCAACTAGAAATGCACCGTACTTACAACCTTATATAACAACCGAGTATACAAAAGTGGAGCAACTAATTAAGTTCTTGTTCAACGCATTAATACAGGCGGTTTGAAAAAGATTTTTGACTAGTTCTCGTAGGATTATATGACCCTTCATCTTTTTAGTGAAAAAATCTCACACGGACCAGTCTCAATGTGCTGTTCTAAAAATTGATAATAATGGTACAGTTTGCTTAAGAGTTCTTTTTCTGTGTTCTGTTTGAAACCTGTGGTCAACGACGAGCATGTGGCTTAATTTTACATGTTATGCCTTGGTCAACTAAGGACCCCACAGGGGCGTACATCGTTGGGGAGCTATGTCTATCATAAAATTTGTTTAAGAAACTCTTCTTTCTGGTGCAATTGCGAATGTGAGACGGACAATGTCGATGTGATAGCGGTTGTCCAAATGACAAACTACAAACAAAGACTCCAGAACAACCTTTTTGAATTTGTTTGAAAATCCTAAGATACGACGTGAAACTGAAGTCTGATATTTCAAAGTATATCCACTCCGGATTGTGGAAGGATACAAGAAGAGCAAACGTGATCAAGAATGGGAGAAACGTTTTCATAATTTTATAGACATAAAAAAGAATTATCAAAATCAATCTATTTCATATAAATATTTTGTGTTCAGTGAGTTCAGTCACGTTTATAGTTCTAACTCTCTAAACTTAATTGAGCCAAAAATTAGAGTCTTAAGATATGTTGGAACACTACGATGAGCATTAGAGACAACCTGATCAAGAATACCATCCTGATGAGCTTCAGAAACAATTCTAATTTTATAGCGAAGAACTTTAAAATGAGTATATTGTTTCCCTAATTCAAGCAGAAGATTTTGAGGTGAAGAAGTTGAAAAACAAATTTATTAACTCCTTCTTTAGGGTCCAATGTTGTTATAATTCCTGAAGCTAATGGCTGAACCGATCCGTCGTACTCTTTGAGAACTCAAGTAACGACAACTTTACGAACATAATTAAACCGATGACGACCTTTGAACCGACGAATCATATAACGTGAATGGAAACGTTTCGAATGCCAAGTAAGGGTTCGACGACGTGCCATATTAATAGCTTGATGACTAGCCGTTGATGCGAACGGTGGATTTGCGTAGATAAACTGTAGAAGGAATACAGCGCCTCCTCCAGAACCAACCGCTGCCGCAATTACCGGCCCTTCGTGCCTTACCAAATCTGATAATCCTAATAGCCTACCTCGCCCACTTTTCCTTATTTGATTGTAAACTGCTTTCCGATATCTTTGACTCAATAGTGGTTGCAACTCACTATCTGATTATCTTCTTCTAACGACGAGTCTAACATAACGCCTCAAATTCCAAAAATAAACACGCCTTGCCTTTACCTCTATTGATAATATTGAAGTTAAATATAATTGAACTAGCTTCAAGTGGCGCTGGGAAAGAGCAACAGAAAGAGATATCTGCCGTATCTTCCCGCGCAATTCTTCTACGTTATGATTAGAACTCAAGTGCCACTTGACAAACGAAGCAAGGGAGCCGTAAGGGGGACGAACAACACGCCCGGACATGCAGACTAAAGATGCAAAAAAAGTGATAGGAAGCCTTTATATAGGGACTCTATGGGAGCAAGGTTTAACATGGAAAGAAAGAAAGTTGCCTCGGGTAATACTAGGTTTCGGCAACATGAGGAGCATGAAAGTAATATAGACGTTGAACGACTACACGGAGAGCGACCTCGAGGTGCTACGTGGGAATGCTCCTCAATGGAGATATATAGTGTGGGGCTTTGAAACATCGCCAACCACAGGTACTCCTCACCTACAAGGATACGGAGCAGCTAAATACGCTAAAACATTAAAGGCATATATAAAGCAATTACCAGATCGTGTCCATATAAAGTTCGCAAAAGCAAGTGAATAAAAAAATATTCAATATTGTAAAAAAGCAAATAATTTTGAAGAATATAGATACGTGTCTCAATAAGGAGCTCGCAACGATTTGCACAACGTGGTGGACACACTCTTCTACAGCTTCACGAAGACCCCATTCAAAACGCTGCGGAGAATCACCTTACGGCCTTCATCAAATATGGGAGAGGAATAGGCGATCTGGCACATCAACCTAGAATCGGAGCACAAAGAACTGAGCGAACCAAACTCGTCATCGTGGGGGGTTACCCAGGTACCGGCAAATCCTTTGGTAGTCGTCAATGTGCTGAAAAGTTTGTTCGCGAACATGGAGTAGACGATAAAAATAGAAGCGATGGTGGGACTGCTACTCAAACCGTAAAGCCGTTATCATTGATGACTCCTATGGGTTCTATACAACTAGTAGATGGGGGAATAATGAAATTAGGGGATAATTCCAATGTATTTCATTTATACTTGCCATAGATAGCTACTTGATTACGGCAGTAATGAGTTGTGGTTTGTGATAAGTTTACGCTGAGATGGCTTAATGGAGTGACCGTGATAGCTTAATGAGTCCGCATTTTCCTGTAATGTTAGAGACATGTGGTAGTCTACGTTCAAATACGTGTATAGATAAGAGGTTTCGTACGAAAGGGAGTTATTTGATAAAATGGCTAACGGCGGTAGCGGACGGAACGTTTGATGAAACATTTAAATGGTCTAATGAAGAACAAAAATTGTTCTAGTGTTACTTGCGCTTCCGACGTTTCCCGAATGGAGGAACTGAAGGTGGCGGCATGTTGTTGGCAGAAACTACCACATTTTTACAGATCCTGCAGTTGATACGCCGCCATGAGGAAATCTGGTAAATCGTTCAATAATCTTTCAATTTCATTAAAGTACGTGGAGTACTATTTTTTTTAACTTCGGAGACGTTCTTTTCAATTGTTTACTCAGTGCCCTAGAATAAAATTATTATGAGAAAGCGGGTTGTATTTGGGTGGAGTGGATTTAGCAATTTGGTTTCAACAAGTGATGAATTTAATAAATTAATGTTAATTCAACAGTCAAGTTCTGCCGTGTTCATAAACTGTAGGAATGGTATTCTGATCCATTTTAGACCGCTTCCGAGAAAAATCACTGATGTAGAAATGCTAATTGAATATGAATTTTTAAAATCAGTCTAATGATATACATTTTTCTTCTATAGCGAAAGCAAAAATAATGGTAGTGCCTCCTACAGAAAATCACCAGGATTGCAATACAGTATTATTAATAGGCGCATTCGAATTATCCAAATTGTTCAACCATATTTTGACTATGATGATTATTCGATGAACATTCGCTGGTCATTTTTCATATGACGAGCATGGAAATGGGTACTTAGTTTGCTACGAAAATTTCTATGAAATATTTGGTGACTTAATTAGTGTATTAAGTGTACTACTGGGCGCGATAATGAAAGCAAATTACCGAGTTTATGTTAATGGTATATTTTATTTCAACTTATCTTTTACAAAATAGCGCATATGAGTGTTTTAGTCTGACCGAAGCAATAACGATAAATGTAGGAGGCCAATCTCTCAACAAAGGAGTAGCGGGTGTTAAGCACTTGAATCCCTAGGGGGCAATTTCGCGCGGATACCGTGGTTCGGGGCATAGCTGGTATGTTCTCTAGTTTCGATTGCTGTTAATTAAAGTTCTGCACCATCTTGCGGGACCAACGATATTCATTTTATCGGTGTAGTAGTGCTGTTGAGACTCCATGCTGGGCTACTGCAGTTCCGAGACTACGGATGTTCCGTTGTCCATTTATCCTCATCCTCGAGCGCACAGCGATCACATCCTAAAAAGATTTGAAGTAGCTATTGTTTAATTACGAAATGCATTTTTGCTGGATTCGTCATTCGCATCAAAATTCTCTAGTCATTACTATGGGTTTCTATCTAGCTAGGTAGCTGGCTCTGAGGGTACTATGTAGGATATCGCGCCGTATAAACCACATATACTTAGCGGGACCATTAGAGGGGACCGCTGTTACAAGAAAAAATATTCAGAATAATATATTCTCTTACCTATATTATTAACTAAAATAAGCTAAAACTATAAGTTTTTTGAGAAACTAGCAACTAAAAATCCTTGAAGCTCTAAATACTGTCTCGTGTAATCGTTGGATGGTGTAATGCTCACGTGCTTACTTACTGAACTTATTTTGGTGATGTGATTACTGAGAAAGGCCAACTGTCTGAAAAAACGCCTAACGGTAGCACTGAATGAAAACTTTTTTACAAACTCTTGCAAAATACTGAAATAACAAAATGCAACGAGTTTGCCAATTTTCAGTGGCCTTCCTTTACAAAACAAAGAGTTTCAGAGTGTAAATAAAGAGACTACCATACGTCGCCTACATTTATAACAAGCCGAGCACGTGTTAACACATGTAACCGTACTCCACGAGCGCTAATCAACGGTGCTATAACTTATGTATTCATTGAGTCGCTGTATAGGCACCTCCGATTATGTACTTTCTGTATTGTTCGTCTTATTTTTTTTATCTTTCAATTTACAGTTCAAACCGCCTGTAGTAGTAGTCACTGGGAGAAGTTACAAGCGAACAAATTCAGAGTAAAACATAAAACGAATTAAAAAAAAAATGAAATAGTAGAAATAAGTACAATACAGTAGTCAGCGAATGCATAGTCACAAACGGTTTTGGATCTTCTACTCAGATCTTTTGACGACTATAAAGAAAAGAAAAAAAGCATATATTGTGAAACGGATCTATTGAATTGCAATATTTACACTTGAAGTACAGCGCGTAATCGATACACAAATGCCGAGTTAGTCATGAGAATCAATCGAAGACAACTCGAATTTGTCTCTAGCATCGAGAATTTGACAAGAGACAAACGTTACATTTAACTTCTAAGATATGGTTTTTATGAGTCCCGTATACATCGACTGGACTGCACACGCCTAATAATTATTATAATATTATTAACACTATTAATTAATTTAGATCAAACACAACACGCAGCTGTTACATTTTGTTCCGTCAATAAACGACACACGTAGTTTTATGATTTTGTAAATCGGTCAGGTTTACTTACACGAAAAATTCAGATCAGATTGATCATTCAGTAAACTCGTATCCGCCACCGCTTTAAATTTTAATACCGAGTAAATCATGTAACGACAATTATTTCTGTCATGTAGTCGTATTGAAACCGAAAAGAGGTTTTTGGCGACTTGCGCGCTATGGACCGCATAAGTGGCCTATGACATTTTTGGTTCTTCCACATAACAAATTCTAGCACTAGGGGGTAACACCTCACCCGGACAAGGAACAAGTTGAGAGACTATCTCTAGGAAAACACATGATTCGCATCTGCGGTTTAACAGAATGCCTCTTTAACGTAACTTCTGTGTCGCAAAAAAGGCCATTAGTCGACCAAAGCCTATTGATTGTTCATCCTCATCACATGTATAGAAACCTTGATCATGAAACGTATACCTTGTCTTACTTCCGTTATGACAAGAGCAGACGCGCGTCTGTTCAGGCTAATTCGGCGCTCCTGCGCGATAATAAATGCATTGCATAAATGTACGAAAGATGATAAATACATTGCTGCGATATCTACAGATGTTTCACTCCTGATTAATCGGCTTCTTCTATTTCGTAATGGTGAAATATTTCTTAAGCACTTGTCACTGACTAGCAAAAATAAATTCGACTTCAATAAAAGTAACTGTTAATGATTATGTTAACGATTTGAAGAAAATTTCAACATAAATTCCCAGCATTATGGCATATACTATATTCGAACAAAAGATATAAGCCGCGCTTTGCGTTTCATTAAAATAGGCAGGATAGAAAATTTGTCAAAGGCCATGCCTGACAAATGCAAGGGATGGACCAAAAACGCTCACAACAGTACATAATTGCCGCCGTCTGTCAGATATACCACTAACCTTAAATGTTCGCAGACATTTTGAATAGAATGATAGTTTGCAGCGTTATAGTTGCAATAAACACATGTACGCGTTCAAATAGCACGTATCCAATGATTTGTTTTGGTTGAATCTAACCGGGTTGACACGAGTCCTGTGCGTACTCAAAAAGCCACCATGAGAGCTCGGGAAACATACATGAAGTTCCGCTCAGAAGACATGTGGAAGTACACAGTTATCAAGTAAAGTAGCTGCGATATTGGTGTCGGATATCATTTACCGTTTGTTCTTTGTTTTAACCTCCCAACTGGACGTACACGTAAACGTGGCGAATTTCGCATAGGTTGTACAGATCCTTGCCGGCAATTGGTTTAATCGGCCGGGATCAAAAAAGACAGACATCGCATGTGGTGGCCTCCAGACCGGTCACTACCACAAGCAGTATCAAGGGAATATCCGAAAAATACAGGTCCGCTAAACAGAACGGCTCGCTGAAAAAATGACTCGTAGAGCACTACCGAATAGTTTATATTTATGTGTACGCAATTACTAATTTTGTACAAAGGGGGGAGAAAATGGGAGAAACGAAGGTAAGCATACATTTGGAACAAATTTAGGCGAATTGTGATAGTCAAGATATTGAAGTACAAAAAATATTGTCGGATAAAATGATTAGTATGTAGAAATGATTTGTTTATGAAACGCCTTGCAGTCCCACTAACTGTAATTCATTGCAACACATGACATTAGGAGCAGGTGAGATCGATATATGCTGCCAATTATTGTATTCTCATGATTAACCTTTTTTGCTACGTGTCATCTAACGACTATAAATGGTTATACGTGCTCAATGGTTTTCTATATTATTGGCTTTCTGGCTATGAGAAGCGCCTATAAGAATCAAACCGAGACCGAGGGCGCCGAACGGGTTCGGGATACTTGGCTTTTTCAATTCAAGACGCTTCCTCTTTTTAGGTAAGCGAGCAATTTTCATCATGACACGAACCTAAAGAGACGGGATTGATCCGTTTTTTTCAAAGAACGAGTCATTATAATCGATTGCTTAAGCATGATATGAAGAGACTAGCAGAAGGCGACAGGGGCTACGCGCTGATGTATGTGTGTGTGTCATAAGTTTGTTGCAACACCATATGAATGGGTCGTGAACGTAGCGATCACCTATTTTAAGGCAACTACTTTGTAATTAAATGGTCAGAGTTGGGACGCCGTCATAGTAAATAAAAAAATACGTTGGAGAGGAATAATCATTATTCACGTACTTTTATTTCGCATTGTATATTGCTAATAGCTGTTAGCATTATTATTTCAGCGTTCACTTCAACCATATACCCAATTTTCTCCAATTTAAGTCATCTGCCTATTTTTTCGACCCTTATATGCCTACTTATGCCATCCTTGCAGACGCACACTGTATATCTAGCTTGTGTCTTGTGCTAAATTACCGCGCGTCGCCATGCAAATGACTTGTATTAATACCGTGGTAGACGGGGAAAGTGACTAAAGCTATTTCGTGGCTAATTTATTTTTTGCCTAATCTCTTCGTATTCACAATTAAATTCGGGCGGCAGTTCTCTTCGTATTATTGCCAAAGTTGATCAAGTTAGGTAATGCACAAATGCTTTTACCGACGATAGACGAAATGCAAAGATTTACTTATATAAGTTTAAATGCGTCTCTTGGGACAGGCACAAATTAAAACTACACATACTATATATAGCATCCATACATTTAGTGGTATTGACTCAAATGCTCTGTCTGTGAACATATTGTAAGACACGTGAAATACATGAACAATTATGCTTAGTTATTTTAGTTTTGGCTAAGTGTTGAGCTGGAGAATTTTTTATACATTTTCATAGGCAGTCTTTTTGCAAGAATCTTCTACTTTTAGCGGGCAGAAGCCCGCCAAAGCATTAGATGGTCCTACAGACATCGCGTCGCGAAATGTATACAGTGAAAAGCAGCCTTCACAGGGTGTATTTAGGTACCTCTATCTCTATATGCATGGGCGAAGGGTCGGAATCGGCTAGCACGCTCTTCCAAATGTTTGTTCAGATGCTTGTCTCTTTACAAATGTTGCTTGGTTTTTCGGTATCAAGATTTAAAAAAAAAAATACGTAGTCGTGACATATGTGTAACTTAACAATTCAAAATCTAATTTCCATCTAAATAACGAATACAATTTAGAATGTTCATTCGCTTGACGTCCAGCTTGGTCCTGCACATCTAGTCGCAGGTGACTAGATGCCCATTCTGGCTGTGTCCTGCTATTTTGAATTTGTGCACTCTTCGGAGTCGGAAGGAAGAAGCGTCGTCTCTCTGCTTAGTTGGTCCAGAGCCGTCGCAACTGGAAGTGCTCGAAAAGTCGACCAATTGTGTCGGGTGATTTTACCGGTTTTCAACGTATCCCGCCACAATTGCGGCAAGTTGACTACCGTAGTACACTGCCGTTGCTTTAGTCCGCATCGGTGAAACACAGAGCTTCCAATGGCAGGAATCGCGTTCCAGCGTTTGACTGAGGAGCGCAAGGCGTGGCGCAAAGAACATCCATTCGGTTTCGTAGCCAAGCCAACGAAGGGAACCGATGGATTACCAAATCTTATGATGTGGGACTGCGCCATCCCTGGAAAGTCGGGTAAGTTTTTGTTTTGCTGACTTAAGCGTTAACGCTCAGTGACTACCAGCACCAGTCAACGACGTGGTCCTACTGATTCACTGTTCGTGTCACCTCCTCAAGAACCGCCATAACGCATGTCTTGAGCCTGAAGTTGTGTTACTCGAATAAGGAGGCTATTGTAGGACAGGACTGCTGAAAACGGGAATGTGCCGCAGTTTTTTCGATGAGATCCAGATGGATTAATCCAGTGGTGGACGCTACAGCTACGCGTGTGTGTGTGTATGTGTGCAACAAGTTGAATTAAAAAATGAAAACGTCCGCGCAAGAGTCGGCTTGTCACGTTCATGGTTCAATAGAATCTATTATTTACAGTGTGTCCGGTAAACAATTCCCAGTGTGACAATAAACCTTAAGTGCTACAAATAGCTGCTCACAGATGTTGTAGAGGATTATTGAGAACGAGACGTTAATTCGGTAGCTCAGTTAGACGCGACCATTTCAGCGCCTGTCGTCCTCTAGAATGTACTTATATGTTATGTACTACATAATGAAATATTTTTCATCTCTAAAACAATGGGCAGCTTCTAACCGGTATGCTCATGACATCCAAGAGAACATTTTGAGTGTTACCTTGGTTGCTTAAGGTGTTAGGCATTCGTGCAGGCCAGGGGCTGGCAGCATAAAGTAGGGTGCCGACGCCCGGGTTCAACGAAAAAATGTCAAAGAGACCGACGATGACCTTTTGCCGTGGCGTATCGAAATTTCGCGATGTTTACCCCTCTATTACTAATCTGCATTTTTATTACAAAAAGAATACGAATCTATGGACATTCAAGGTTTAGCTAAATATTGGCATACTGTAATAGTTAACATGACACGGTACAGGAGATGTGTTGTAGAAAAGTTCAATGGCCTCAAAAGGTGCCATCAGTGTGGGAAAGGGTGAACTTCAAACGAGCGCTTATTCCGATTGCTACATTGTTCGCTGGCTTCTTCGTATCGCATGGCAGCCATAATTCGAACGAGGGCATAAGAGAATTAATTGATATAACTTGTCGAAAATTATAGTTGTTCATTAATCCGTCGTATATTGCTCTTCTATAGAGATAGGGCTATGAAAAAAATTCATAGTTTTTAGCTTTTTCCTTATGCAAAAAACATGCGTGTGTAAGTAAATGAATGCGTAAATTCAGTGTGTATTGTCGAAGAAGTAAACATATCGTATTATAAGACGCACGTAGTCATCGGTACGTCGTTTTTTTTTAGCCCGCCAACACGTTTCAAACATTATCCTACATCTACGAGCTGACAGTTACAAATGGCTGACACAGGACATTATTTGCGGGTGTAAAAAAGGCTAGTGTGTGTGTTTATTATTATAATTATAAGTATACGCCGTTGCGGCGAAAATTGTACAGGGTAGATTTTCTTTCGTATCTTAATCAGCTGGCGCGAAACGAGGGTTTACGTGCGAGTACAGTAGTTTTTTTTTCTGCACGTGTCTATTCATGTAGAGGTCAAATATGCACCGGTGATATTGCAGAAAATGTGCTTAAGAAGTGTTCGAAGAAGTATTACATAGGATCAGCGGTTTCTGAGTACCGTGCGAATGCCTTTATCGCTTACAGACAGTCTGTCACTGACTGCAAAGCAATTGCTACAGTTTTGTAAACATAGCGTTCACGTCAATATCAGTAGGACAAACAAAGTTGCAAATCAGCAATAATAAATATGGTTCTTGATTGTACTTTGTATTATATTCATGGACTAACATTCTCACTAGACATTGATTGATAGATATTGAAAATCAATTTAGCAAGGAGTTACATCAGATATTATTAACGAATTCTAAGGTGTCTAGTAAATGTATCGTTGATTCAATTTGTTACAGGCACACCATGGGAGAAGGGTCTTTATAAGTTGCGTATGACTTTCAAAGAAGATTACCCATCGACACCCCCAAAGTGTAAATTTGACCCACCTCTGTTTCATCCGAATGTCTACCCCTCGGGTACTGTTTGTCTCTCGTTGCTTGACGAAGAAAAGGATTGGCGACCTTCTATCACGATTAAACAAATCCTTGTCGGAATTCAGGTATCGATGTTTTTTGTAACAATCTGCACAGCTCACTTGCTATTGTTTCGTAGAATCGTGGGGCATATTTACTTGACAGCTTTTGATGTCTTATCAAGAACCCAGCCAACTTTTCTATACCCTATATAATAGCAATTATTTTATTAGATGATTTACGCACTTAGCATTCAGTACCAATTTCACCCTATAAAGGACTAGTAACGGAACAAGACCTCGTCAGTGTGACTTCTACAGAGACAACCAACTTTTTCCACTACTACTTTTTCATTAGGTTTTTATCAGTCCTATACTTTAGGTGAGATACACTTACGCCCCATGATGAATGACAAGTGCCAATCTAATTATAAACGAAGGCATTGGCTTAGTCTGCTTAGGAATAGTGCTTCAAATAGACTTCAGAGTCTCTCGTTCAAGCTTGTCCACCATCTGCATACACAACTCACGCCAAGGAAACAACAAGATTATTTTTCAACTGTTATCATCCCTACAAATGTCGTAACTTCTCTCTCTTGAGTGTAGTTAACACTAACATTTTTCTTATTGTGGGTGTATTTTAGGATCTGCTGAACGACCCAAACATTAAAGATCCGGCCCAAGCTGAGGCGTACACGATCTACTGTCAAAATAAAGTTGAATATGAACGACGCGTACGAGCTCAGGCAGAGCGGATGGCACCTATAGCTTAAAACAGCCGCAAGCAACTGTCAAGAGCCAATAAGGGGCAACTTCGTTGACCACTCGCGCCTATGAGATGAAAACCTTCATTTCTAGTGAAGGCTCAACATGAGCTTCCGCGACTTGGCATCGATACAGATCATCATCATTATTGCGAGGGAGATCAGATTTAAATAGGGGAAAACGTAATGGCGTTGGGAAATCTCGCGTTCTGTGGTGGGTAACATGAGGATCAAGCGTGGTCAATCATGTGGTAGACGCAGTATTTAAAAATCTTTTTTTCTTAACGAGATGAAAAATAGCCGTAAAGGAGATCAATACTGCTACTCTATATGATCTGTATTTTGTTCACTTCCAGTGCACTCTTACATCAGGCTAAGTCATGCAACCAAACAACGGTGAATGGCCTGAGCTCGAGCCCGCTCATTGCACTCAGTGAAGTAATTAAAAAAGGCTTATTGTGTTGGGCGTCGAAGGGGTCAAGATTATATAGGGGAGCAATAAGTTGATTACTTTATGGTGTAGCGAAATTACTGTCAGAAAGTTGTTTTGACGACAAAATGTAAAATGAATTATAGACGAAGGAATTTCACCGCTAAGAAAAGGTACATAAAGCGGTGATAAGAAATGAACAGGATATAAGCAACATCACGGATTGTTCAACGCTAGCAAGCCGATAATAGTAACGTCTAGCAGCCGACAGCAAGTACCAACACAGGCGAGACGGCAACCGACATCAACATATACAATGTACATTTGTAAACATTTTATGTATTGAGTGGAATAAAAAAGCGGGTGTAGAGGCCGATGAGGATCGAACCCACGACCGAAGTAAATCCTACTGGGTTGAAGAGTTAATTATGCAGATGATTAATAGAAGCAAATGTCTCTTGAGGGGGCAGGGGGGGGATAAGAGAAAGAGAAAACTATTAAAGCGCAAAAATCATGGAAAAAATGAAATCAAAATATAAAAAAAATTACGAAATGAAGTTTATTAGCAAAGCTAAAACAAGGTGAAGTGAAAGAAAAAGGGGAAAATAAATACATGGGAGCCAATCATAAAGTTATTGAAGAATGTTAAATTACAGCAATATCAGCGTTCTCATTGTTACATAGCTAGGCAGGGGTGATGCAAAAGAGGGTGTAGGATTTTCTCTATATATGTTATCGTGGCAATGGCTACGCGTTTCGTTTACAAAAAATTGCTGAGGTTCTGGTGAGTGAAGAAAAAAGTTTTAGTTGTATAATACCTTGTTTCGTTTTTTCGTATAGTTATTCAGGTAAATATTCCTTCACTGTTTTGGTAACTCTGATGAATAATTAAAAGACTTCAAACGTTCATAATAGCTAAGAAATGTATCCCGAAGAAAGTCACAATTTAGTTGAGACTGATTGGTAATTCGCTTGGATCTTTTAAAGGCTCGACTAAAACTAAAATGTAAAACAAAGTATTTCGGCTTAAGGAAAAAAGAGAGTAAATTAGGAAAATATACCAGAGAGAAAATGTTACAATATATTAGTGTTATACTCCACATAAGTATTTCTGGTACCTGTATTGTGCCTGGCGGTAGTAGTATATAAGTCAGGATTTTACAAAAATAACCAAGTTCAAAATCATATACGGCACAACAACAGGAGGATCAATTATCTTATGCTATATCCGTCTTTTTGCTCGGCTGCGGCTACCGCACTATCCGTCTGCGTTTCAGGAGAGTTTACAACCATTGCGGTAGATCCAAAGCTGTAGATTTTTTGCACCAGTGTTTGTCGATCTTAGAATTGATACCGAGAGGTGCTTCCGATGACTTGTTCGGATGATTTTGGTTAGAACAAAAACACATTTTGTATGTTTAAGAGTTGTTGCTGTTCAACTTTAACGCTCTAATTGCGAAAAGTAATCAAGTAGACTACGCGTTCGAAGAACGATAAGCACAAACTACAAAGTAAAAGATGTGTTTTATTTCTAATTCGATCATCATATTAGACCCCTTGATCCATTATTTCTGCATGAATTAAAAATTTTTTTAATGATGAAATAGATTTATGTAGATTATGCAACTCAACACAGTAGTGTTTGTAAAAGATGAATTTGCATATTTCATCGACTTCCTATAAATATGCTGAAGGCCTACAGCTATAGTGAGCCACATAACTACTTAGCATGCATTTTATTGGTGAGATGAACATAAGAGTGATAAAAGCGATTAAGACATTCATAACCTCGGAATTGACTAAGGTGATTATACGCCTCAGGGAGTATAAATCCGAAAAAATAAAGGCAACCAAGGAATCACACAAGAGATTCTGTGTCCAATACTAAAATTTAATGCAAAATAAGCGATTCTAGATGCCAAAATTATTGTTACCAGATGATCTGATTTTGGCAATGTACACTTTTTAGGACATCGAAATTACCTCGATTATTATGACGCAAGTTATAGAAAGTAAAGCCTCAGTTGGCATTTAATTCGTCTAAAAGTCCAACAGTGGTTTTCTAAGCGAAGAATTTTTGAAAGAGCTCTCTAAAACTGTGAAAAGGCACTAGCTGAAAAGTAATTATGTAGTTTACGCCGAATACATACGCCTAGATCGCTGTATTTGCTATTCACTTACTATATTTTTTGAAATACAACATTGTGTTCTATAAGCGCATGACTTGCATTTCCCGTTTGTAATATCTGTGTCTTCGAGATGGAATATAGGACGGCCAAATTCAGGCAATAGGCATTTTACCGGTTGAAATACGCCTTGTTGTGAAGAGATTTTCATTGGTTGGAATTATACTGTTAATTGCTTTTCACTTCTGTGCTGGTGACTCTAGGTAAACATAAGCTCTCGAGTTAGCAGGGTGGCTTTAAAAATGTTAAGCAAAAATGATTCGTCCAATGTATTATACGTCGCAAACTAGCATTAAAATTAGGTTATTAGTAAAAGACAGCGGTTTTGCAAATGGTTGCATCTTCCTTTTCGCTAATCTTTAGCGTGCCGTTTTTAGGTAGCGTAGCGTTATTTCATACAAGAGTTTGCCACCATTGATATAAGACGCGAATGTCTTGATCGATATATATAAAGATAATTTAATCAAATTTTGAAAAGGAAAAAGTATCTGCCGTGTCCTGCATTGCAGATGTAGCAACAAAGACCTATTACCACGAATGTTAGAGCTGAGACATTAGAATAGATAAATTTATGGAGAGGTGAAGGATAACTTTTCTAAAAGGAATTTAGTCCGGGTGCATAGCAGATTGGGTGCACTGACTTTGACTTATACAAAAATATATATCATGTTTTCAGAAAAGTAACTGTTTCAAGGTCATTCGGTACATATCGCCTAGCATACTATAAAAGGCATAAAAATGTCATAAATAGACGTCAAAAGTTAGTGGAATATCATTATAATTCGTTTCGGATCTGTTTATTATACCCAAACGTATAACCTCTGCCCAGCCTACGACAAAACCTAAACCTACTGTCATCTGTTAAAATGATACTTAGAGGTGACAATCTCAAATGAAACAAAGAATAACTTTTGACCATTTCCGTTGATTCTGTCTAACAATATTTGCTATGTCATTTTGGCTCCGTGTGAATACATCCATCGTCCAATCACGTGAACGAACGCTTTTTCATTCATCATCAGTTCGGAATCTGGGTCTGTTTACAATGCGTTACGTGACGTGACGTGAACAGGCTGTTATCACAGCCGTAATGGGTATGTACCGGTAATAATTATTAATTAATACCCTTATAATATTTAATGACATATGGGCAGTAACGTATCTTGTGTATAGGTAATATTATACCGGTCGTAATGTAAAAAGAACTGTTGTCATTAATGTGAGCGGAAAGAACAGATGATTTGTAGAAACACGAATATAATTTATTTGTTGTAATTCACAGTTAAGCGTAGTGGAGTACGTTATGCTGAGTATCACCAGAGGACTCTTCTAGAGTTGAGAATGTCCAACAATTTTCGACTTACAGAGTAAATAAAATTACCGCTGCTTCTCTCCTCCATTTTGAATGCAATAACTCTTCAAGTCACGTGGAAGGTGCACAACTCAATTAGTGAATAGCTTATCAGAAGACGAAAGCAACTAAATGTACAATTTAAATGTCTAAAGTGTTTTTGAACTAAGTCCTCTTAACACAAGCATCTTTTTCTCTTTACCTGCAGTAGCTTTGGCGTAACTGCTTTATTGTTCAAACATGGCCTCCTTCCCACGCATGACTCTTGGAGACTAATGTATTTCAAATTGTATTTGACATGCTTTAGTAAGCTCACAAGCCTCAAGCTCCTCAAGGCCAGACTGGTAGTTGAAAGTAAGCAGCTAAATTAAGCCGAACCTTTGAAATTCCTTTTCAGTGTCGAATGTTAGGAATCCAAATTTTGCAGAGGTTTTTCAATTGGGGGCGTTCTAGGAAGGAACCGATCGATTTGGGGATCCTATGTCGAATCAAGGTCAACCATTAAAGTTTTCTAGACTCACTGAAAGGCTAGCCTATACGAGACAGCCATAGCGTCTAATTTAAGACTTTGGTCGACTCGAATTAATTAACCCTTCGTTTTTCAGTCAAAGATTTTCTGATATGCTACTGTTGATATGCCATTTCTGACATATTTTTATAGCTCGCTTGAAAAAAGTAAATGGACTCCTCGCAAGCAAGTTTATCTGCCAGTATGGAAAATTATGTTTTATTTCATTGAGCATTCCGACGAAACAGCAGATTCGATATTTTCGAGTACTTCGAATTGAAGCCTATGAAAGTTTTAAAATCTTTACATTTGACGCCTTGCTTTATTAATAAAAACCAATGATACGCATTAAATATGATGTGTAACCGATTAGATATGTAACCGATAACTTCGGTAACTACATAATTTTTGTTCAAGTGCCGCGTTTTTATTCGGTGTATTGTATGATGATAACTCAACATTTTAGTTTTTTGATGCACCGATGGGACTATAACTTTTCCGCAGCAGCAGTACTCCTGCTGAAAGGATTGCGCCTGTGGCGCTAGGTGAATACTATTTATAGAGAAAGGTAGTCGAAAAAGCATAAATATTGTTATAATTATTCTTACTATTATGATGCTTTATGTAGACATACAAAATCTGGAATGGATTTGTTCAAGAATTGATTTATTATTTAAGCCTTTACAGTTTCCGAATTATGCACTTGAGTACTGGAAAAACTGCATACAAAAGTTCTATTTTTTCTACTACGATTTCCTGAAGTGGACTTAAATTACTTTAGTATCTACTAATGTTTTTCTGCATCCAAGCGTTAAAAACTGCAATATCCTTTTTCAGTTCGATGGTGAAACAGTCAACAAAATGGAACTAGTTTTGGTGTCAACCGTCTTAGAAAGACCAATGTTTAATATTATAAACTAATTTAATATTATGAAAATAACTATATGCATTCGTTTACGTAATGAAGTTGGCCAAGTGCTTTAGTCACTTAAGATTTTGAAAGACCCCGTGATGACCATACATGCAACTAATTTAATTAGAATAGATGACGGTTAATCATGAGAGCTTTGCCTGTCCCGGAAGATAGGAAGATTTATAAACGTACAGGAAGTTTGCCAGCTTTTATGAAGGACAGTTATATACTTGACAGAGTTCTGTCGAGCGGTGAAATTAAAACGCAAATGGTGGGCTAAACCCGTGAAGTTTAACGTTTGTAGAGATTTCCACAAGGTGAATATTTTTGCTTCGGTTGTTTTAAATCTACTACCGCTGCAAATGAGAACAAACCCTTGAACGCCATGTACGGAAGGTTCGCGACGACTAAGTTTCAGTACATTGTTTAGATTATCGCAGGAAGCAAAGTGATTCTGGAACGCATCCCTTAGCTATTGAAGAACTAGCGCATGAACCTCTGATATGATATCGGATTGAAATATTATTCTACAGCCGGTGTTGCAATAAGTAGGGTGCGTAGGCGCTATACATGAATATCAAACATATAGTGGGTATTCAAAGAGACATATTATTAATATCTGCGCGGTAGACTCCTAAATACAGATTATATATACGTATTTAGTACAATATCACAAACCTCGAGTGTTGATAGGCTACTTTAGGAGTTTTATATTTCCCTCTCGAGTCGCCATAACGCTATAATTCACAATGATCTTTTTGAACGTGAACAATTAACAAAAGCTGTTTTTATTTATTATATCAAAAAATATTATGGCTTTAGCCGTCTGCATTGACAAGAAGCTTAGAAACGAACGATAAAATTAGTCGTTGTGTTTATTTAACGATCTACTTATACTTACATACCATTACGAACAGTTAGTATTTATGCGTGAGAAAAAATAAAAGAGAATGTTTGAAAAATAATTTATGAGTGGTGTTTTTTTTAGTTGTAGCTAGCAATGGGAAAGCAGTACGATTATTAGTTAGAGATTCCTGATATGTGATTATGTGTACTAATAAATTGTACCATTCATTAAGCGAATTGTAGCAATTATCTACACCATTTATTGATCGCATTCCTGTAGTGGTATAGATAATATCTTGTATTAACGTGTTAACATGCTACTTCTAAAGCCCCGATTAAGCAAAACGTCTACTACTACGGCGCTCATTGAATTTGTCGATTAAATTCTCTGTTGGGTCGCGTTTAATTCCGTCTTAGTTTATTAGCCTATAGAGACCATAAGCAACGTTTTTCTTCTAGTGTAAATCAACATTTTTCCAACTATAAGCTTTCACTTATTTAAACTGTCTGCTTATCGTATTTTTCATCTGTACTGTGCCGAGAATAGTATACTTAGATTGTGGCATTAATATTGATATTTTTTACTTTTCGGTGCATGCACATTTGATAACTCTCTCGTCTTTCCCCCCTTTTTTTTTACAGATGCATCCTTTTAATAGACACACATTCGAAATGCATTTGTTGTTGAGTGGACGGTGGCCAGAGTGCGCTCTGGTGCATTGAACATCATCCAGCAGCAGCCTCTTTCTCCTGTCAGGCGTTGTTCTTCTTAGAAACCTTCAAGAACTAATTAGGTTGCTAGTGTCGATACTGCCCAAAGAAATTAGCTGAGGGATCTGGGATTGTGTTTTAATTGGTGCATATTATGATTGATGTACGCAAGACATGTAAATATTCATTCATGTTCACTGAATGAATAGTGGTAGAAAAAGACTAAAGAATTCTTCTATGTTGTGGAAGAATTTCATCATTTAAGGACTGTCAACATGCGTTGTTAAAATTGTTCGTGGTTCGCTCGTCAACGGAAAATGTAAATATTAGACACGCTTTATTAGACTATTTTATTTAACGTGATCATACAATAAACGATCTAGCCTGCTACAGGCTATTGATAGTTAGTTTGCCTTCGATAGTGAAGAGCTTTCCGCATGTGTGGGACCAAACTAGTTGGGTAACTTTCATTCTCTACCAAAATTATAAGTGTGGAAATATACGTATGATGCACTACGAGTCTACCAGAACAAAGAATTACCTATTTTTTTTCTAGAAGAGTACCAGGAAGATGTCGACAGGAGGTAGGCATCAATTTGTTGTTTATCGAATAGCAGATATGAAAGAAATTTAACTGATATGGGCGTAAGCAATACTGGTGGTAGGTATTACATAGATCAAGTTCGATCAAATCCGTCGGAGCGTTTCAATCAGAAATGCGCAAGTATAGAAACGTCCCGACATGTTTCGAGGCAAAACTCTCTTCTTTATTTCACGACGGGTAATTATAACCTTTCAAGAAAAAAGTAAGAACTGATGAAGGTCGTCTCACTCGAGTTTCCATTTCAATACTTAGCAGATCGGTGTTGAAAAAGGACTGCAAACCTTGTTAAAGACGTGCGTATCAAGAGACATAGCGACACGGTACGTCATCGAATAGTGGTCCTCTGAGGCAGACAGGATGTCGATGTAAGTCATATTGGGATAATTTTTTTATCAAAATTATTCCAATATGGGTCAATGGGTTATCAAAAACTTCTGTCTTTCCTAAATCATCTTATTAATTATTAAGGGCTATTTAATGTATATCTATTGTTAAAGACCCAACAACTTAAAATGTTTAAGCAAGCTGAGGTAAATAATATAAAAGACAAATAAATTCATTTTTTGTATATACATGGGTTGATACTCAACGGTTTGCTTCTTTGGAAGCAGCACTTGGATTTGAATTGGTGTTAACTATTAGCATCGTTGTAACGCAGAGCCGTACTAATTTACTGTTATCCATTGCTTCATTAGTTGGGAATCTCATACAACTGGCTTGGTTGTTATTTGTACACTGCGTACCATAATGCTTTAAAAAATGTTCACCTTTTCCCCAGTGTACAGTATATGCAAACTTTCCGTATTCTTATTTCCGAATTAGCTTGAATTATCCGAATATGTTGTTATCTTTCGCTTTTAATAAACACATATCCAAAGATCTGCTACTGCTGATCCTGATTCTAGTTTTGCAGGGTGAACATTGAAAAACGTTTCAGCCATGACAGAGAACCCACGCGCAGCAAATGCATTTGTAAGTAATACTTCGCTGTGGATAATACTGATGGCTAACTTCGCAAGGTTCAATGCTTCCTTCAAACCCCTGGGTTCACAGTGAACAAGAGCAGCAGAACAAAAGTGGCAACGACTCCTCATCGCTTTTCACGCCTCATCTGCAACAGCCGTCACAATAGCAAACTCTGCCAGCTGTACCAGTCGTAGGATTGCCAGGCCTTTAGCAACCTTTTGCCTAGCAGTTCGTTGAGATCAATAAAATCGAGTGAACTTGTAAAAATCATGTAGTATTGTGAAATAAATGATGATAACTTTGAGTGAAATGATGCATCAAATTCTAAACACACATATACATTCTTTAGTCTATCTTTAGTTGTCGCAAATTGTTTAACGATATATTATTAAGTGCAGTCAATTTCCTGAATAATACACTTCATGACAATCAAGCTTCCTTTGAAAAACTCGTTCTTATGTATATGTACAAATATACGTTCTTGTGGCTTTTCATACATTACAGAATTGACTGTGGGTCTTGTTCCAACTGTGACAGTTGGCGAAAGATTGGATTATGGTTATGAGAGAGGTTTAAATGGAAGCGAAGAAAACAAAACATTAGGTTTTACGATGAAACGGAAGCTCGATGAGGTTATTGTAACACTCGTCCCTGACGATGGTAGCCGGCGTTTACTTACAAGATCCCTATGCAGGACCTAGTCGGGCCAAAATGAAGAAAATCACCCGGCGACAGGATGTTTCCAAGCCAGGAATTGTGAGATTCTGAGAGGACAAACAGGTGGCGAGCCAACAACGGTTCAACAAAAATTGGTAACTACACAAAAATATGACGGCCATCCTCAATCTACCATCATGCGTGTGCTTCGTTTGCTGCTAAAATAAATAATAATTATAATAAACTTCTTCTAAAACCTAAAAAAAAAAAGATAAAATAAACCTATGCTCTACTGAAATCCTAGAACCCAAGGTGCCATTGTTGCTGCTACGCCATCCCAATGTGAAATATTATAGCGTATTGCTATCTATTTGAATACCTAAATCTGTTGACCATCCACATATATTAAATAATTTAGATTTCGTGAAAATGTTGAAGTTCGTATTAACGTAGCTAATGAGCAGAGGTACGTAGTCATCTTTTTTATTTAAATATTACGATAGAAATATGGGTATATCACACATATATTTGTGCACGCATAACGCTGGGCAACTAGCCAAGCATTAAATAATTATGATTGAATACTCTCGCTCATTGCGTGCTTTTCACAGCCAACTAAAATGATTATATATATAGTGGAGAGTACTACTTCTCACTATAATAATGAAATTCAGTTTTACAGCTCTTTGCTGACATCAGGTCTGCTCGTGACCCTTACCTTTTAGCGGCTGCTTATCAGTAAATAAATAAGTGTTTCAGTTTTTGTGTCCGGTACTACCGTTAACGATTGGTTGTACCGGGAGCCAGCTCGTTAACGAGCTGGCTCCCGGTACAAAAGAGATTGCATCTACGCCTAAATTCAAACGCAATTTGGTTTAATTAACTGAGTTACGTTAATCGGCCTCCACAAAATTAGTTTTGTGAAAAAACTGACAGATCGCTGAATTTTTTAAGAGATAAGACCAGAGATGTCGATAAAGTCTCTCTGTATTTCCTCATTCAATTCTCGGTCGATAAAATTAGCATTTTTCTATTAGAGGGTTTAATAATAGTGGTATTCTTGCAGTTAATAGTAAGAAGCCACAAACGATGGAACTAGCTTACCCCACGACAAGCAGCAAAGAGAACACAATTAACAGGGGAGGGCAAAACACCAGTAAAGGTATGCATATCATGCAGCGAGCACGCACGATACAACTGCAGCATTATTCAGAGAGTTACTTTTTTTATAATTCTTTTTGGTTTTCGGCAATGCGTTATTGAATGTTCCTATTGCGCACACGCTTAAGGATTGAATCTTTTCAGTATGCTGCAGTTTTATCACAAGCATCTGCACGTGTAAAATTTTGTTGATTGAATCGCAACTAAACGGGTCAAACGGCGCTTCAAAGTAACGCGTTGTTTCCACTTGTTATAGAATACGGAAGGGTCGAAAAGATCAATGAAATATTGTTTTCTAAATTGTATTACTATTCGCTGTGACTCTACACTTAAATAAATAGCTTATTTGTCAGTGCAGACTTGCTTGGTAATTGTGCCCTTATTAACAATTACCAAGGACAAGAAACCGCAAACTCGAGTGACGCAAGGAATAACATTGAGAAGACTATAGCCAAAGATAAAAGGCATTAGAACGAAGATACTGAAATTAGCGAGCCAGATAAGACAAACAATTTTAATGCTCTGAAATAAAACTATTAAAATTAGATTCGTTACTTCTTAGAACTACATTTTATTCGTAAAAAGTGTCTAAATCTCTCTCCATAAACTTTGCCTGGTAGGGACCGGTGGAAGGTTGCTTATTATATAGTGCATACATTTTAGAATAGGCTGGGTTTGATAAATTGTAACAGTTTCTTCGATACAATGGGGCAGGTATTTTGCAGAAAAGAAAGATAAATATTTTAGTTCTTCATAAATTCAGATTATAAATGCATATCGTTTTCGGTTGCGTTGTAAAGATATGTCTATAACTAATTCTGGCGAAGTACTTATCTGCTCACATATACATTATGGCATAGTATTGGCGTTTGTGTAAATGCTAACAACATTTATTTATCTTACATTGATTACCTACTGGGTTATTTATACAGACCTGGATGACACTAAAGAGAACGAGGTCCAAAACAAAAAATATTCCAATCAGGATGGTGAAATTCATATTCCAGGTACGCATTCGATGATGCTAGTATTAATAGTATTTTTACACAAAACGATCACAAAAAATCAATACTTAATCGCCCAATTTTATTTTCGAGTCCCGTTTGAGCAAACCATGAAATTTAGGTTGCAACTATGGTGAAAAATGTTATAAATTATTTTTCTTTAACACACTGGGTTTTTCAAATAATCAATTTAAGGATACAGTACACAGAAGGCAGGATATAAGCAACACGATAGCAGTTAAAACGTTAAAAAAAAATATATATATATATATATATATATATATATAATTTTAATAGTAAAAAAAGGTCAGGCAGAAGTTTCATGGGCCAAATACCTCTACAGCAATAGCCTCGAACATTTTTGATGTCCTCAGGGTAATACAGCGCGAAATACTAATATTAAGAAAAACTGTATTACTGTCACATTTACATAGGTTTCTATTGAGGATATTTTTGGAAAAAAATTTGAATCGAATGCGATATTGCCTGATCATATGATAGTTTGTTAATAACCTTAGCAGTACTGATAATAAAAAGAAACAAACTACAGATTTAGATAGTGTCAAGGAGGAAGTTTTCAGCAGGAAGGAAGATGTGACTGCTGGCGAAAACTGCTCTAATAAAGAGCGCGAAAAGCAGAAGAAATTGATTCAAAATAGCGAAATAAACGGTTTCTAAGAGCCAACGAGCCGGAAAAAGGCGAAGGTCGGCAATGAAGTTCACTCTTCAATGACGCACCTTTTAAAAGAAAGCGGCAAAGCTAAGCTTAAGTCTTTGTTAATACCTTGTGATCCCTTTGAAGGGTACGTAGTCATATAGCATGGTACCTAAAAAAGAATTTTTTCAAATATACCGCGCGCTAAGCTTTAGATTTGACATAGAATGCTTATTACTTGAACGTGACTAAACTGGTGTTATCAGTATACTATCAAACCTGCCTTGTAAAGCTAAAGCTTCCACCGATTCCCACAGGTTAAATGTAGTATAGAGCCTGTTTCTCAAAATCCACAGCCGCAGTCCACCGGTATCAAACACGCATAAACAGAAACCTGACTTACAATTCAAGCGGTTCTATGTTTTACATTAGATTAGTTTGAATAAATGATGACATTATAGCTTGATGTGCTCGCTGGCTCTGTTACATTCCTTACTATACTGAAATTTGCAGCTTATTGAGAATGCTTCCGCAGAACTCTTTAGATATGATCCAGAAGATGGGCTACCGCCGCAGCCTGGTAGACAACCGAGCTCCAACAATTGCATCCCGGGTAAGCGCCTACAATCTGAGTCTCATATAGTTAGGGATGTATTCGTATGTAACACAGTAACGGCACGATGGTAAGTCACAGGGCCGAGTGGCACCACTGAGCAGAACGAGATCGTACCTGATCTTGAAAACCGGCTTGAAACAGGTAATGAAACCAGCAGACCAAATACGTATAAAATATACACATTGAGTCAGGGATTATTTCTCTACTTCCTTAGTAGATTCACACTATTTCCAGAAGCGTTACTTTCTCCTATTTCCAATCGTTTTACTAAACTATGAGCTCTTGCCATGACGTTGTATACATTATGCTGAGTAACATAAATGATGATGATGGCAACTAACAACAAGTACAATAGGAGCGCGTATATCGCCCGAAGTGGCGCTATACGCAGCTAAATGGAAATGGCCAAGCCAATGTTCAAAATCGCCACAACATTCAAAAACCTTTTCGGATTTTATCTTTTGATAGAAACGCCAGCTCTACTGTGGGGTACGTACCTGTACTTGTAGAGAGAGATAGAGAGAGAAAACGACACATTGATTGTTAGCAATCTTTTGAATCACGTAGGGTCCGAGATACCGGCCCAGTCATGCGAACTTTTTCGTATTGATCGACTTCTGGCATTAAATTCGAATGAATTGTTTTTGATGGCCAGGGTTATGAGGATAATTTGAATACTCACTTTTTTTTTTATACCAAACTAAATTTTAGGCAATCGGCGATACTGCCGCTAGCCGCTCAGAGAAATGAGCACAAAGGAGACCACCCCAGAAAAGCAGCTACTAAGGGGTCAGTATTAAGTGATCATGCCCCAGGTACATTACAACGAGAAGGAACATTAAATATGCACCAACCCATCCTTTGCCACCAAAAAAACTGCATTGTGTATGTATATGTGAATAATCTTTCTTAATATTGAAACATTTTCTGCGTGGTAAAATCTTAAAATACACTCTTCATATAAGTAAGCTCAGGAAATTCAGGTTTTCTATTATTCTTTTTGACGTACTTTTAATGCTTGAAGCGAGGAAGTCAGTGGGTGTGCTTCACGAAAACGGCGGTAAGAGACCCGCTAAGGAGCTCAATAGAGCTCATGCACTTAATTGACAACACGTCTTTCAATGACGGCGGCAATATCAGCGAACTTGAACCGTCAAAGGTCTGCTCATTAAACCTAAATTCTAAGAGGGAGTGCCTTTCAAAAAATCAAGTGGATGATGTGATGGATCGCAGAAACACATTGAGAAGCCTTTTCAAGCTGTGCGTATCAAAGTATATTTAGTAAATGATTCCCTTTAGCTTCACACATGCCCTCTCTTAATTTAGCTAAAGCCTTTGCCCTGTCTACTATGGAATATTTTTCATGACCGTAAACCGGTGCCTATGAATGACGTTAGTTTGTTACTAACTTAGCTCTCTAAAGAGATCTACGTTTTATGAACACTAATTAACAGTGGATCCCGGTTGCAGAAGCTATGTTCAACTTGCATTTTTCATTATTTTAACAGCGCGTTAGTTGTTCTGTTACAATGGATATGAGAAATGCCAACCTTCACGAGAAGATATTGAAAAACCGAATGAATTGATCAATCTAAACTATAACAATATTTATTTGTATCGCATTAGTCTCTTAGTTTATAGGACTGTGTTCATGTTGACGCGTGTGGCGGACGCCGCGAATGATAAATCCGGCCAGCAATATCTGTGATGACGGCTAACTAGTTGAACGCGGTAGATACGTTCCATATGAGTTCATAAGTTGCATTGAGAACAACGATGCATACACGAAGTTGTGTGAGAGATATTAGTTGTAACTGCGGTCTCGTTTATTTAACAAATTTCTATGCTCTCTGTATTTTAAAGGCTACAAGGGTACGATATCGTCGATATCCAGGATGCGCTAGCAAAAGTGACGGAAATATTGAACTTGCTAGGGAAGTTGTCTTAATGAACTGCAAGGAATTGAGGAGCAAAATGGACCAACTAGCGTGAAGGAAGATCATGAAGCTGAAGTACCCGACAATTTTAGGTAACATGCAATAGCTATCAGCAAGTTATACGGCGACTTGCTTAGTCCAGGCTAGATATATGAATCCTCTTC